ATATTCTCTGTTATAACTTGTGTTGCCTTGTCTGCTCTGTCCATGAAAATGTGTCCCCCCACCCCCCCTGTGACCCCCCCACCCATCATCAGAGTCCTCCCAACAATGGCCGCCATACCCGACCTGACCCCGGATCTACTCCAACCTCAGCATGGGCCCGGCAGGTGTACAGACCCGGGATCTCAGCACAGGGGTGGGGGCCCCTCATAATGGGCACAGCGGGTGTATAGACCCGGGAACTCAGCACAGGGATGGTGGGGGGCCCTCATAATGGGCACTGTCCTGGTAGGTGATCCCCCCCCGGAGCAGACTCTGGAACGTCAGGCTAACCATGAACATTTTGTGTTTTCAGCGGTGGGCACAGATTTGCCAGTATGGGGGAAAAGGGTCCGGCAGGAGGGGCACAGGTGAGATTGTTCCCCCGGTGAGCACGGATGGTGGCTGGGGCACTGCTGTCCATAATCAATGGTGGGGCACCCTGATCGTGATTCGCTTGGCATTAACCAATCAGGAGTGCGGTTCTCCCCGGAGGTCTCCCATGTCGGCTCCATTCCACTCCGATCTCCGGCTTTTCCTGCTTGCTGCTCTCTGACCCTTGTGACGCATCTACGCTGGGCTGCACATCGCTCGCACGCGCGCACACTGACCCCGCCCACTAGGTGTGATGTCACACTGCCGCCGCTTCTCTTCACAGTCACTTATCTCTATAACCATTGTCCCGGATCCCGGTTCTGGTGGAACTGTCTCGGGTTTCGAGTCCTGGAAAGGCCGACAGGAAGCTCCGCCCATTAATGATCTCTTTTATATATGTCTTTTTATTCCTACATATAAAAACTAGAGCGGACCAATCGCAGTCCAATCTACACATCCGATATCCTATATATCAATATATCCACCAATAGCCATAAACCAGGACCACCGAGAGAAGGGCGGGGTGGGACAGAGAAGAGAAGAGAAGGGGGGAACGGGGGGCAATACCAAGTGTATACATAATTGTAATAGGTCTATAAAGGTTTTTAGTTTATAGAAATCATACTCTCTGGACCACTGAGCTTACACTCTACTGTCCCTGACGCATTTGTGCACAGGGTGGAGGGGGGAGATTTCACTTCCTGTCCCAGAGACACAACAGGATGTAAGCTAGCAGGTTAGATAGGAGTCACCGGAACGAGTGTCCCCATTGGAGGATTGGAAAGGACTGAAGAAGAAGCAGAACCTGCGATGAGGAGATAGGAATGGATACAAAGTAACGAGATTGAGGAGATCATTTGTATCCGTCGGATCTCTTTATACGTTTTATTAGAAGATCGAGGTGAAGACTTGACTGTAATCTGACGGTACGCGGGGGGGG